CGCACCCGAGCGAAGCAAGTAATAAGTTGCCAGTTATACATACGAGTATATAACTTTCTCACTTTAGACATTAATAAATTATTTATAAGTTAATTGAATTCTTCAGTAAAAATCCAATGTTTTTTTTAATTAAGACGGTTATATTTTACACATTACTTTATATTTTTAAACTATAATACGAGTAATTAAGTTTATATTTAACTATGCACTATACACAGCACTTTTTTTTAATTAACCGTTTAAACAACTATAAACTTTTTAAAATAAAGAACGAATTTTTGAATTCGAAAATAAATATGGCCGCCAATATGGCGTCTGCACCTCGAGCATGCGCGGTGGAAACTAAATCGAAACTTGTAAACATTTGTTATCAACTAAAAACTACTTAAGCTGTGGAGCTATTATATTTGAATCAAAAAAATTTTATTCTAAAGAATTTCAATTTTTTATACTTAATCATTATGTATTGCTTGTAATTTTGTCTACGTTTAATATTTAAAAATAATAATACAAAAAAAAAAACAAAAAAATCTTCTATAGGTAACATTATTTATTAAGTTTTGAATATTTTTTTTAATCTAGCAAGCTGTGGTTGTTTAGTTTTTTTATTACGAAATCCTCTGGAGTTCTAAATGAGATTACTAAAGTGTGTCAACTAGCACGTTTCGTTCACGCCATATTATTTTCTAGGCCCTTTTGTCAAATATTTTAAGTCACGTTTTTACGAGATAAGGATGTCCCTCTAATAACCTATATTATAAATAATAATTATTATTAAATAAATAATAATATATATTAAATAATAAAAAAATAGACATATATAATATATGTCTATTTTTCTCACTTATTTAGCAAAGGTAGAGTAGATTTTAATTCCAACATTTTGTATGCAACGGGTCGAATTGATTTTTTTACCTATCTATATTAATATCAAATATTGATATTAATTTTAACTTATTTCTTATAACTGACGATCGTATCTTTTCTTATATTTACGCGAATATTTGACATTTTATTAAAATTATCTTTTCCCGTGACCATTATTGCTGTAAAACGTTCGGAATATCGGGAACCAAAAATCAAAATAAATAGGCGAAAAAATTTGTTTTATTTAAAAGTCGTGTCCATGTATTCCGTTATTATTTCATTTCGTTAATTTTAGATAATAATAAGTTAATTTGAGAGATAGAAACAAAAAGAGGCCGGTGTAGCTCTCCAATGACTAAGTACAGTTGGTCAAAAGTGTTTTTTTTGTTTCTTTTTTAATTATAATTATTTTCAAATATATTTTTCATCGCGTAAATTGAATACAAATTCAAAAATTTAATTAAGTACACAATAGTAAGTAAAAAAAATTAAATCAAGTACGATACTATTAAATATTAAATTAAATTTTACCAAGTCCACAGTATAGTGGTTATGTAAAATAAAAAATGAGGCAAAATACTTATCAATCCCTTACAATACATGTGTAACTAAAATACTGTGTGTTAGTTTTTCTAACATAAAATGACACATGCTTGTTCACTCTAGACTAACCTGGAGTCATTAGTTGTTTAACGGGTGTTCGGGGGTTCGATTAATTATTATCAACTAGCGACTAAGCCTCACTTCGCTTGGTTGTGTCCCTAAAAGCCTATGTGTTATTCCAGCTCATAGTCTATCTGTGTACTAAATTTCATCCAAATCCATCCAGCCGTTTCAGCGTGAAGGATTAAAAAACATATATACATATAATTTTTTTTTATAACTATCCGGTTACGAAATATTTATACACGCGGAAAGCATGAAAATTAAATACATATATATATATAATGATTTTGTTTAACGAGGCAATAGAAACTATTAAATATTTTGGGATATTACCACACAGCACCATCTAGTTCCATGGTAAGCTACGAGGCTTGTGTTACGGATACCCAGATAGTTAATACACTACACATATATAACTTTAAATACATACATATTATAAATATTCATAATTGGAGTACAAACGTTCGTGCTCATCACACAAATGACTGCCCTCAGCGGGACTCGAACCCGCGACCGCTGGCGCAGCAGGCAGGATCACTACAAACTGAGCCAAATGTGTGGTCTAAACTAAAACAATTTTCTCAATAAATAAAGCAAAAAAATGTGAGTAAACTTGAACGGAAGAGCCTAACTCGTTAAAGATGTGACATGTTCACCTATCCAGGATCAAGTTAAAAACGATCGTGGACTATGGCCTGATCCCCCTTGAATTGAACGCCCACCCCCAGTGGGACGTTGAAAAGGGCTAAGGTAATATTAATATAGAGCCTAAGCAAAGAGTAGCTAAGAGTGCACAATACATAAGAACGTGTGGAGTTTTCTAATTTTAAACCTATTTTTCATCTAGAAACGTAAATGTATACACGTTATCGAGTTTCACTCCACTCAACTATAACCGGTAAGATTATCGCGTTATATTCCGGTTAGTATGGAATAGATAGACTATATTATATTAGTATATATATATATATATATATATATATATATATATATATATATATATATACATATAGGTATGACAGTTTTATATCCCTTACTTGAGAAACGATTGATTCCCCATACAAACTTTCATCCATCTTTTTACTCCTTAAACAATGATTTCCGGGATGAAAACTATCCTGTCAATACAATTATTAATTATTTAATGATTCAATTATATAATTTATTAAAAAATAAAAAGGTTTTAAAATTAAAATAATAAAGATTTGAAAAAGAGATTGTCTGACTGTTTGTTCCGAAACGGCTGGACCGATTTTAACGGGCTTTCACTGACAGATAGCTGATGTTATGAGGAGTAACTTAGACTACTTTTATATTGGAAAAAGTATTAGAGTTCCGCTCAAAAAAAATAAAACTTACCTTCCGTCGCTAGTACCTACAAGTACATATATACTAAGAAAGCAAAATTACCTTTATAATGACATTAAGAAACTTGTTCTAAATTTTAACAAAGTACTCTAAAAGACAATAAAAAAGATATATATATTTTTTTCGTTTTCGTTAAACCGCTTCGAGCCGGTCTCTACCGGTTATTTGACCTTGAGACGGAACTTAGTTTTTTAAAGTACATATCTACTATCGATCCGAGATATTTAGACCATTTTGGGTTTAACGTCAGTTCTCACTTAAAGACTAAGAAATACTACAGACAGATTGTTATATATATATATATATATATATGTTTGTTTTGTTTTTATATATATATATATATGTTTATAATGTTTTAAAACAGAATAAAAACATATATTAATTGACTAGCATTGCCCGCGGCTCCGCCAGCGTTCAGATGACCAAAAACCAAATTCTTAGGATTTACATATTAGTATACTTATTCTTACAATGCAGTTTTTATATATTTTTTTCAGAAATGAGATATTTTCCCGCGGTAAAAAGTATCCTATATGTTGACCCGGATAACCAGCTATCACCATATCAAATTTCATCAAAATCCCTTCAGTCGTTTTTTTTGTGATGCGGTAACAGACAGGCAGACAAAAATTCTAAAATCTATAGATTCAGCCTCTGTATCGATAATAATGTTTATTTCAATAAGATTTTCCAAAAAATATTTAATGTACAGATTCGGCTTAGTTACAATTTTATTATATGTATAGATAATAGTAAATAAGTATTGATAAATAAAAATAGCGAACGGATTTTATAATTAATTATTACAAAAAATGCTAATATTATACTTACTATGTTTTTTTCGAGGGGAAGTGAATTAATTTCAAGAAATACAAAAGAATATAGTATGATGACACGTGTGGCTCAGTTTGTAGTGACCGTACTTCCTGTGCCAGCGGTCGCGGGTTCGAGTCCCGCTGGGGGCATTCATTTGTGTGATGAGCACGAACGGTTGTATTCCAGTCATGGATGTTTATATTTCTTCCAACATATTTATTTTATTTAATATTTAACTTGTACTTTTTTTTACATTTAAATTATACGTCAATATGTAAGTACCACAGCCTTGTAAGGCATTTCTGAAAAGAGCCGGCGAGAAACTTGACAGTCTCTCACTCTTTTAAAAATAACATTTGCTTACAAACATTGCTTTACAATTACTATCTCAGCTCAGATTCAACTGAAAATTAGTCTCACATATTAAAAATAACTCGATAACTGCTGTACTGTACAGATTTGGATAAACTTTGGCAAACAGATAGGCTATATTCTGGACTAATGCTTAGGACATTAACGCATGAAAAATCTAGTCTATATAGATAAATAAAATTGAAGTGTCTGTTTGTAAAGTCAAAATAACAGCTTTTTCGTTTTACTAAATGCATATGAAATTATGGCACAAATTCAGAATTGGGGACTTGGCCCCTAGCGGAGTGGGTGGTATTTCTGGATAAGGGACGTGATAGGGACTCGAAATGTTAAATAAAAATTGTCCGCGAACGTATGAGTAAAAAGTTATTGAGACTTAAAGTTACAACATTTCCATACATTTTCATATATTTCTTTACAAATATGTACAAATAAAGACAATCATCTGGAGATCATTTTGACAATTGAAAGTGACGTTTTGACTCCAAGTGTCTAAATGGTAGTAATGTCAAAATAATGTATGGAAATGTTGTAACTTTAAGTCTCAATAACTTTTTACTCATACGTTCGCGGACAATTTTTATTTAACATTTCGACTCCCTATCACGTCCCTTATCCAGAAATACCACCCACTCCGCTAGGGGCCAAGTCCCCAATTCTAAACGGCCGCCGAAATTATATACGGTACTTATAAGAAAAACACAATTTTCAAAATTTTTGTGTGTCTGTCTTTTTGTTCCGGTTAAACTCCGAAACGGCTGGACTGATTTTGACGGGACTTGCTCTGGTAGATAGCTGATGTTATAGGGAGTAACTTATGCTACTTTTATTCTAAAAAACAATTAAGGTTCCGTTAAAAAAAATTAAAGACGTAAGTCACGAGTGTTAAATATAACAATACCGACACATACCGTTCATGTTCTATAGCAGATATATCAGCATCGCAACTTGAATCAACAGTGAAGTTTCTTCTGAAAAATCTTCTTTTCTCTGTGCTAGACTCAACTATAGATACTGTAGAAGAATTATTGAAGTCCTGTACATCCATTATCGAGCTGTGAAATAACAAAAAATAATGAAGAAGTTTATAATAATAATAAATTGGACTTCTACTTAGGTGTAGATACGAAAGTTTGTATGTGTGTATGTTTGTTACTCCATCACGCTGAAACGGCTAGACGGATTTGGATGAAATTTAGTGCACAGATGGAGTATAACCTGGAGTAACACATAGGCTAGTATATGAAATATGTTAAATTAATTATTTTGAATATATTTAAAGTAATGTATAAATTGCCTTTAAATATTAAAATATCGTGTATTTAATTTGTTCACATTACATTTTATCTTACATTAGCGACTCATCTTCGGTTCGCTTCGTTCTGTTTTAACGTTTAGTATAGATTTCTCAGAGATGAGATATTTTCCCGCAGTAAAAAGTATTCTATATGTTGACGCGGATAACCAACTATCATCATACCAAATTTCTTTAAAATCTGTCTAGGTGTTATCTCGAGATGCGTTCCCAAACAAACAGACAGACAAAAATTCTAAAAACTATAGATTCGGCCTCTATATCGATAATAATGACTATTTCAAGAAGATTTCCCAACAAATATTTAATGTACAGATTCGGCTTAGTTACAATTTTGTTATATGTATAGATTAAAAAAAAACAAGTAAATAAGTTAAAAGCTAACTCACCTGTATCAAAACAGCTTTTTCTTCATCAATATCCTACGAACGTGGACACCATCTTTAAATAAATTTTATATTTAAAAGCACTTTAAAACTACCCACATATTTAATAACAAAAATTAAAAATATTACCGTTTTCGTATTGTTTATTTGGAAATAGAAAACAAAAAAGGTATTTTTTACGGTTTATGCTATATTTTTGTTATTTTTTTCCAAAATTTCACCTTTTTTGGGTGTGTTTGTTCATAACATTGTGTAAGACTGGATGGATTTGGAAGCACTGAATTGAAAGTCAATGTCGGGAAGCCGTACGTCTAAATCTATTATAAACTGGATTACAACTAATCTAGCACCATTCTAGTATGTTTTAGACGCGTTTTTAAAGTATTATATATTAAAAAAACTTAAAAATGTACCTTTTTTAATGTTACTTTGAAGCTTAATAACTTTTCAAATAGCGCCATCTATTATTCAATTGCGAAATTTAAAATATTATCCTAATATATATAATATTATTTTTCCTTTTAAATTTTGGTTATTAGGATGTATAAAAATTAAAAAATCTATTATTTTTTTATTAATATATTTTATCTTCTATTTGTCAATAAATATTTTTTTTTTAATAACGCTAGTGTTGTGTCCAGTGGATGGGATTCGATCATAATCATTATATGAAATTTTCAATATAGAGATATTAAATTTTAACAAATAATTTTCACATTCTTATTTATATAATACATTAGTGACACCCTAGCGTCGTTCCGCTCGGGTGCATCAGGTACGTTTTAATTTTTTTGAGCGGAACCCTAATCCTTTTTCTAAAATAAAAGTAGCCAAGTTACTTACTAAGTAAATTACTCATAACATCAGCTATCTGCTAGTGAAAGCCCTGTCAAAATCAGTCCAGCCGTTTCATGGGTTAGCCGGAACAAACAGACAGGCACGAATTTAAAAAATTGTGTTTTCTTATAAATATCAAATATAATTTCATATGTATTTAGTTAAAAGCTCTTATTTTGATTTTTGACATTATAGATCATTTTAATTTTTTTTAAACACATTTGATTTATTTTTTCATTTAAAACGACAATGTTAAAATATAGTTATTTCTTTTTAAAATTTCAAACATAATTGTATTTAAAATATTACATATATAAATAATAATTTTATACAAATTACTGCCATCTCTCGAGTAATCTGAAAACTAAACATTAAAAATATATCAAAGTAGTTCGTATAAAAATGAGATAGATGGCGTTAATATTATTAGATTAAGTTAAAGCGAGATAGCAATATAACATACGAAATAGTAAGAAAGAGATAGACAATATAGGCGTACAATCAGTGCCTTGCAGAAAATTTTTATTATCCATCGGCCGTTCAATGTTTTGGTTGTGAAATAATCGCAGAGATGTTTTTTCAATAAATTGTGTATTTTTTTTGTGTAAAAAATGTCAAAATTAGTGTATTTTTAGTGTATTTTAGTGTTGTTTTAACAATGTTGTGTGAAATATCGATTTTGACGTAACACTTCTTTTATTAGGATTTATATATATCAATATACAGGTAATATATAGGATATAGGATAGGTATATAGGATATTTTTTATCGAATTCTTTTTATATATGTGTAGGCTAGACATATATATAGATACGATTTAATTTTTTTGAGCGGAACCCTAATTCTTTTTCTTAAATAAAAGTAGCCTAAGTTACTCCTTATAACATCAGCTATCTGCCAGTGAAAATTCCATCAAAATCAGTCCAGCCGTTTCGGAGATTAGCCGAAACAAACAGATAAAAATTTTAACAATTGTCTAATCCTTAATAAGTAACGTATATAATTTCATATATGCATTTAGTAAAAACCTGTTATTTTGACATTACAAACAGACACTTCAATTTTATTTATCTGTATAGATTGTCCTGTTTGATGTTTTTATTGCATATAAAAACGATTAATCAATTTTAATATAAGTTTTTACATTAACATTTTGTAATTCACCATCAAAGTAGGTACTATGGAAATAAAAATTACAATAATAATTTGCTTTTGACCGACTATAAAAAAGGGTTATACAATTCATTTGTTAGATTTATTACTCATTAAGTTTTTATAGACAGTTTAGTTCATGGTTTTATATTATTCTCAATGAATTAGTTTTAACTCAGTTATTTTGCATGTGTATCTCCATGGTTACAAATAGCTACGTTAAAGTGATAAAGATTAAAGAATGTATATTTTTTTTATCTTGGGACTAGAATGTGTTAGTTTTAAAAAAGTAAAAAGTTTTCAAAAGGAAATATTTTTTTTTCGAAATAAAATCCAAAAATATTACCATATTCGTTCTTGTTGTCAAATGTTTTCAAAGATGTGATCATCTTCAAAAATAAAAAGTTCCATTCAAACCAAAAATTTTAATTAATTATTTTAAAAATCTGTGGGCCCCTCAAAATTTTGAGATTTTTTTTTTATTTTTTTTATAAACTAAAAATTCTACCGCCAAGAAAAGAAAAAAACATTATTACGCTCCACCCTACTAACAGTAACCTATGTGTTATTCCAGGTCATACTCTGAGTACTAAATTTCATCCAAATCCGTCCAACCGTTTCAGCGTGAAGTAACAAATATACACACAAACAAACTTTCACATATATAATAACTAGTGGCTCACCCTCGCTTCGCTAGGTTCGCCTCAAGGAAAACAAAAGTAAATCTATCCCCCGGGAACCGTATATTTTTCCGGGATAAAAAGTAGCCTATTTGTTATTCCAGACTATAATCTATCTCTGTGCCAAATTTCATCCATATCCGTTCAGCCGTTCTGGCGTAAAAGAGTAACAAACATCCATACTCACAAACTTTCACATAAATATATGTAATAATAGATTGTAATAGAATAAATTATTTTTAAAAATTCGTATTCCGACACGTTCCGAATAATATTTCATTCGATTCAATGTTTATCGACTACAAAAATGGAAATAACAATTCGTATGTATGTATATTACGATATCTTCGATAATAAATAATTATAAAACGATTATTATAATTTATTAGAAAGTTATATTTCTAGTTTTTATCTTTTCATTAAAAAGTTATTAATGACATGATTGTTTGAAATGAAAGTCCATATTCAGCTACGTTTTTAATTCAAACTATCTTAGCATTTAATTAAAAAAAAACCAACTTCCAGGCATTATAATGTAATGATGATGAAAGATCCCAAAAATCCCGCGATTGCGCTTCTTAAATCCTGGGATTTTGGTACTAAGATACCTTCCGGGATCTTCTTGGTCCGGAATCCCGGGGATTTAAATAATGACCCGGAAGCGTACTCCGTTTCACGACACTAAAAACCACCAACCGGGGAATTGAAAAAATTATAGTGTATGGTCTCTAATAAAACTTCGAGATATTCTTTGTTTATATTCTTATATTCAGTACTTTTATAAACGTCAGTGAGTTACATAATTTATAATCATAATTTTTATATTACAAACAATTTGTAGTCACCTACATGGTGATACTGACATCTCTGTACAAAAGCGCGGGAAAACAAATGAATATCCGCGCCATTTTTTTTTTTTTTTTAAAACACATTCCTATCGGCCAAGGTCACATAAGTAAATGCCATATACATAAATCATTGCAAATTTAATCAAATATATTATTTTCTATTAAAACACTCAATATATAAAAATGCAACCTTACAATAATGAAATTGCCACTTATTGATAACTAGCGACTCACCCTCGCTTCGCTCGGGTTCTTCCCTAGGTACGTTTTAACGGTTAGTATGAAATACAAATCTTTGAATTTCTCGACTTTTCTGTACTATAATATGCATGTATTATACATATAAACCTTCCTCTTGAATCACTATCTATTGCTGAAAACTGCATTAAAATTCGTTGAGTAGTTTAAAAGATCTAAGCGAACAAACAGCGGAAGCGACTTCATTTTATACTATGTAAAGACTAGCTATAGTATATAGTATATATGTAATCAAATGTAGGAAGTCGACTTCTAAGTATCGATTTGCACATATTTACATGCAAAAAGATCAGGTAGCCTAAAGAAAGGTTTTTTTTAGTTTGCATATCTATTACAAAGAGATTTGTGTTGTATTGGGTGTCACCCACAAACACCCGAGACACGTCACAGTTACTGTATGTAAATAGTTTATGGACAAAAAAAAAAGATGGCGACGAATTGAAAACCTCCTCCTTTTTGGAAGTCGGTTAAAAATAAAAGCGATGCCACAGACAAACGCTAGTATGTATAATAAAATATTTAGTGTAAATGACTAAGACGGTCTACCCCATTTTTAATGAAAGAGGGTGAACGTAAGGGCTGACACCCCAAATAAGAAACACCCCTGTATAGAACTTTCCATCGAAGTTATCTTGATTTTCCTCAGGGTTTGTGAAATGGGTCAGATATTAGAGTTTTGCCTAAATTTATTTTAGTTAAGTTTTTTTTTTAAGTTATACCTCTTTTGGCACGTATGGAAAAAATTAGGTATGAGAGTAAAATTTTTACGATGCGCGCGCACACCGACAGTCAAAAAGCGACATGATAAAGTTATCTGATACCTGTTTGTTGCCATGGTAACCGTTGTTATTGTCTGACAAATGATATATAATATTATATTCACTGCCTCGGTGGTGTAGTGGCTAGCATGTACCGCTGCAAACCCGGAGGTCCTGGGTTCGGGTCCCGGGTCTGGCCAAGTTTAGTTATTGAATCTTTCTGTGTAGTAAGCCCCAGTAACAGCCCGGAGTTGGGAAGTTGGCGGTGTTTCGTCCCCGTGCCTCGGAGAGCACGTAAAGCCGTCGGTCCTGCGCCTTAACTCTCACTGGTCGTGTCGAGCAGTCGTCCCACCAGAGTATGAGAGTGACAGGAATAGAGAGTGCACTATAATATCTCCTGCGCTGTTGGCTAGTCTCAATGAGATTGGCCGCCGTGGCCGGAATCGGTCAGGAGAAAATCATTATCAATATTATATTCTATCATTAAATGATATTCTATAAATATATGATTGTAATATGCCTAATATGCTAAGTACACACACACACGTTTTTTTAATAATAATTATCGCTTTGACAGACAATGGCATATTATATAGAAAACGTTATTCAGAGTTCAACCCTTCGCTTAAAATGTAAACCTATAAACTTTTCTAAGTCCCTACATTACAAAAACTATCTTCTGATATTTTATGAAATGGTCAAACATGATATGATAAATCCTACGATATGGTCACGACAGATAGACTCATCCTCGATCACTGATACTCCACGCCGCCTAAAAAAGTTAAACATGCTTCGTTCTAAGCTTCTAAAGGCCGTAGTGTGATGTTAGACGATTTGTAACCTCTCTGAATATATAGTATTACTCGTATAGTGTACTAGCGACTCACCCTCGCTCGGATTCGTCTGTACATACGTTTTAACATTTAGTATCGATTTCTCAAAGATGAGATATTTTCCTGCAGTAAAATATATCCTATATGTTGACCCGGACAACCAGCTATCATCATACTAAATTTCATCAAAATCCCTCCAGGGGTTTTTCCGTGATGCGGTAACAGACTGACAGACAGGCATAAATTCTAAAAACTATAGATTCGGCCTCTGTATCGATAATAATGTTTATTTTAATAAGATTTTCCAAAAAATATTTAATGTACAGATTCGGCTTAGTTACAATTTTATTATAAGTATCTACTCTTCTATCTGATATCCGTAACACAAGCCTCGTAGCTTACCATGGAACTAGATGGTGCTGTGTGTTAATATCCCAACGTGTTCATTTATTACTTTTTTACATTTTTTCACCTTCGTGTCGTCTCCATTCGTGACATTAGCGAAGTAATCTTTGCTCAATGCTTTGAAACCATTAATAATAGCATTAATTCAAATTACATTTTTGACATTTCGGAATATACCAACTTCCTATGTGTAAGCGGCTTCTCTGTGAATTAAATCTATTTTTTTAATATTAACTTCCAAGGATGTGACCTCATATATATTAAGCCTATGAACATAAAAACCAAGGTTTCAACTATACTTTTTGACCGGTTTTAAAGATATACTTATTCACTATTTTACATCTATTTTAATGCTTTATTTGAGGTTAGAAATTTAACCACGGTAGGCTCAGGTGCGTCCCTTTTTTTATTTAATGAGGGGGAAATCTTCTAAAGATATCCAACCAACGTACGAGATGGTTAGGATATGTAGGATTTTTACCTACTATAACCCCCTCGGTTACCATCTACTGCGTATAACGGAAAGCACCGGGATACCCAGCTGTCATCATACCAAGTTTCATCAAAATCTGTCCAGTGATTTTCTCGTGATGCGTTCCCAAACAGACAGACAAAAATCTAAAACCTATAGTTTCGGCCTCTGTATCGATAATACTATTTCAATAAGATTTTCCAAAAAATATTTTGTGTACAGATTCGACTCAGTTAGAATTTTATTTTAAGTATAGATTACGTTGTGGTCACGAGAGAAACGAAGATTTTTGAGGTCCCAAAAACTATTACAGATGGCTAACAAATAACATTATGTAATAATTTAAAAGAAAAGAGAAAGTTACTCTGACCAAACAAATTGTTTGTTTTACCAAATTTATAAATATAAAAAAATATAATTAGGGTTGTCATAGTTATATAAATTAAAATATGATTTTTTTTAATTTGGTTGATGCACTAAAAATATAATTTAAATTTCTCTAGTCCAAAATGAAGACCAAGTTGACGTCAGTCACCTACCTCGGGTACACGGCGATGGACAGACGATTTTCGATATCTATGCTGCCTTGGCTCTTACGGGAAATTCGAGCAACTAGCATTCGGGAAAAGGTATGTACTCAGCCCTTTTTACGTCCCACTGCTGGGGGTGGGCATCCCTTCAATACGAGGGTGATCAGGCCATAGTCCACCGTGCTGACTAAGCGCGAACGGACTGAGCATGCCTTTCAACAACTTGCTAGGTTCTCTCAGACAGGCAGGTTTCCTCACGATGTTTTTCTTCACCGTAAGACAAGTGGTAATCATGTTGGAAATAATTCGCCTGCCTGGATTTGAACCCGCTTCACTGGGTTTCCCAGGCGAACGTTACTACAGGGTTACCACTGCCGTCTTTATATTTATTTATAACTAGCATTGCCCGCGGCTCCGCCCACGTTCAGATGATCAAAAAAAAATATTCTTAGGTTTTACTTTTACTGCAATGTAAGAGTATACTAATATGGTATTCCCTTACATTGCAGTTTTTGTATTTTTACTCACAAATGAGACATTTTCCGCGGTTAAAAGTATCCTATATGTTGACCCGGATAACCAGCTATCACCATACCAAATTTCATCAAAATTCTTCCAGTGGTTTTTCTGTGATGCGGTAACAGACAGACAGACAGAAAAAAATCTAAAAACCATAGATTCTGCCTCTGTATTGATAATAATGTTTATTTCAATAAGATTTTCCAAAAAATATTTAATGTACAGATTCGACTTAGTTACAATTTTATTATAATATGTATAGATCTATGTTTTGTTCACAGTTAAGTGTAGCCGTAGAAGATGGCTGTCTAAAGGCGTATAACGGAAATTTCGAGCCGATTATAGTTCACCGTCTAGTTGATATCTTGAGGTAATATCTTAATTATCTCTTTGTATATGTTAAAGGTTAAAAATCTTGTAAATCTGTTATTTTATATAACAACACGTATAACTTTTTGGCATTTTTTTTCCATTTGTAGTCTACGATCATGTTCTATGTGGTGGACCCCCACTCATTTTCCAAAGGAAATATATTTTTAAACCATAAAACAAAAAAAAACCACGACCCAGGGGGTTTGTCGCCAAAAATTTGGCAATTTTTCGAATCGGATTATTAGTTCCTAAGATTAGGGCGTGCAAACAAACAAACTCTGCTTCTTTATAATATTAGTATAGAAGTATAGTATGTAGTATTAGTAGTATATTTGTTTTATCATATTCCGTTTACATGGTACAATATGCATATATGAACAAAGTATCTGAAGCTAGGTCAGGCAGAAATCTAGGCCGAGGTTACAGTCTAGCCTGAATTTCAGCATTTCAATGCATGAGACGTTTCAGTGTTTCGATACTAATTCAGTTAATTTTTTAGAAGTTCTATATCCCGATTTAAAGATAATGATCCAATTCAATTCAATTCTCTTGTTAATGACTTCAAAAGTGCCAGTTGAGCACAGATTACTTGGCCAATGTCACGTAGAAAAGACAATGATTCTTATCATTTTTTTTTCTTTCGCTTGAAATTTCACAAGTCATAGTATATATTTGTTAACACTGTTAGACAATTATTTTGTGTATGTCTGTCTGTCTGTCTGGAAACGCATCTCGTGAAAATCCCAATAAAACCAAGGATCGTCGAATATACAAAAATTCGACGGTCCTTGGTTCAAATCCGATTTAGGCCAAGTATTTTTATTGGTTTTTCTAAGCAGTCCGGAGTTGGGAAGCTACCATATACTCTATGTGCCCTTTACCTTTGTGCTTTGAAGAGCACGTTTATTATATATGTACATTTTAATGACGTATGATATATGTATGTATACACAAAATCGACAGCTTTCTTTAATTTTTTACTTTCTATTCGTCCAGGGCAAGTCAAGTACCAGGAAGACCAAACGAGCTGTTCTACATACTCCTCAATGAGAAGGAGGGCTTACTGCAGTGTTACTTATTCATGGCGAGCACAGCGGTTGAGGTTAGTGCTTGTTTATATAAAGGAGTCAAATTTCTTTAAGGAAAACCCTAGGGCAAATAAATATCTAAGTTATATATCCCTAAGGACTCCCTAGGGAAAGAGCCCTAGACAAAGAAAATATTTAGATACATCATAGTTGAAACGAAATGATCCTTTAATGCTTTAATTAATAAATAAAACTAATTTCGATTTTTTACAGGATTTATTTTAATTTTTAAGAAAAAATCCGAAAAGATAGGTTTATTTAAAATGTCAAATATTCATGTAGTATATCCATCGATCAAAAAAGTACTAGATACACAATCAGAGACAAAAAATGTCCTCACCGAATGAGCGCTCATTTTAACATTTGAGCGCACTTTTAATTTTTTTTTGTGAAAACAGCTTTAAGAATTGAATTTAAGGTTCAATTTACATTGTTGTATATTTATTTCAATTAGAATAATTACCGAAACATAATTGGAGACAGTTTTAAGAGAACTTTAGCATGAGATTGTGTATCTAAGGAAATATTATGTCCTTAATTTTTGAAACACTGTCGTAATATAATATACTTCTTACCGTACCCGCGGCTTTGTTCGCTTTCAAATTTCCGATCGCTACCAAACTTCACAGGATCATCCACTGGTCTAATATGAAGTTTGCCTGGAAGTTTCATCAAAATTCTCTAGCCGTTTTAGAGTCCATAGGGAACATACATACACACATCGATTTTTATATACATACTATATATAAGCTAGCCGTATTTAAAGTTTTTAAAAAATAATGCCCGTAAGTACGCGCGTGTTTGCGACCGGCAGCATTACAGTAGCATTAGCACTTAAAAATTTTATTTAAAAAATCAAATAGCACTTTTGGAATCTTAAGGAATATTTAAAAAACTTTCATTGAAACCTGTTGGATTGATTATAAGTTAAATCCGTTCAAACATACATGTAGAGAATTTTAAATAATTAGTATAGATATAACGTAAATGAATATAGTGGTTTTTCCGTGATGCGGTAACAGACAGACAAAAATTCTAAAAACTATAGATTAGGCCTCTGTATCGATAATAATGTCTATTTCAATAAGATTTTCCAAATAACATTTAATGTACAGATTCGGCGTAATTACAATTTTAATATATGTATAGATTAAAAATAAAACTGTAGCTTCCCTAGTATCTACGTATCATAAAATATTTGCATATATTTAAATTTAAGCTTAGAGTCCTTTCACACACGGTATTAAAAATGCGCGTTTTTTTATCGTATTGTGACTAGAATCAAAGAGGTTTTAGAATAAAAAAGGTCATATTTGAAACTGTTTTATTAAAGTGGATCAAGTTATACCAATATACAGCATGGCATAGATTATGGAGGCAGTGGTAGCCCAGTGGTAACGTGCTCGCTTGGGAAAATTGAGTGAAGCGAGTTCAAATCCCGGATCTCGCACCTTTGATATTTTCATGTGCGAATCATTTCTAACATGACTACCTCTTGCCTTACGGTGAAGGAAAATATCGTGAGGAAACCTGCATGTCTGAGAGAACCTAGCAAGTTTTCGAAAGACATGTGAAGTCCGCCAACCCGCACTTGGCCAGCGTGGTTGACTATGGCCTGATCCCGATCGTATGTAAGGGAGGCCCGTGCCTAGCAGTGGGACTTTAAAAAGGGCTGAATACATACATAGATTATTAAAAAATTTATTGACAGTAAACTTATCAGAAAGTGATACATTATTACTAAGTAAAAATAGTTTAGGATATTTACGTTTGATATAAAAAATGTATAATAATAGTTATTGCCCGTGGCTTCGCCTGCGTGATAAGCGGGGTGGAGATCAAAGCTAGCCTATATCCGTTCCCAGGATGCAATCTATGTCCTTGCCAAATTTAATCGAAATCTGTTCAGCGGTATAAACGGGAAACGGTAACAGACCGTCACTTTCACTCTTATTATATGTATACGTACGGATAAACCATCCCACACATTGGAGTATGGAATATGGCTAACATAATTGAATCCTAATGATTCACAAATATTTGGATTTACCAAAAAAAAAAAAATTGAAGTATCTATTATTTCCACATATTAAAAATCCTGAATGAATACAGAAACTAAATTAAAAAGCATAATCTTAGAAGTCATATAATTTTAATTTAGCTAATAGGACTATCAGTGTTAATAAATTAAACGTAATTTTCTTGAATGTAATTTTATGTAATTGTTATATTTTAGCAAAATTTGGTCGAAATATACAACCAAAAACTATTCCGATCAGTAAGCAGCAAGCAAAGTTATACCAAAATCGATCCCTCCCTTTCGAAGATGCACTGTAACAAACAGACTTACAGATTACAGGCTGACAGATGCAGACATATCTAAGTATAATTGTGACAGTATTTTAATATTTGTTTTTTTTGGGCTAAAAAATATTAAATAAGGATAAAAAAGGCGACAAAAACGCTACTTATTTAACTAATTTGCGTCTAAAAAATCGTCGTGTGATAGGACTATACTAATATATCAAGGTTGCAAAAATAGCTTTGAACTTTAGAAATAAAATTTAATTAAAATCTGACACCTATATTTTCGAACTATTAGAATAAAAAAAACTAAGATATTATAAACAGCAGCACATTTATATATTTCATTGACCGATTTCAAAAAAGGAGAGTGTACTGAATTCGAGTGTATTTGTCAAAAATCCCTAAAATACATTCATTCTCATTCGTGAAAGCTTCGTTCTAATGAGACGCCCAACTATTTTATCTATAAAAATTATAACTAGCGCGAGTCCAACAATTGCATCGAGGGTTCTGTACAATAAAATATTAAATTTCCGTAGCTAAAATGCAAAAAATGGAATACTTATAATTTAGTTATGTTTGTTCGTCTGTAGTACATATGTCACAAGCACTTAACTCGAAGACCATTGAAGCTATGTACATAATATGTAAGTCAAATTACAAAAAAAAATTAAAACTTTCTTATAATAAAACTTAATAATATGAAAATAAACTTATTTGTGTCGATAAAATGAATATAGATAGATGAGTAACTACTTTTTTTACTTTTAATTTAACTTAGTGTGTTAAAACAAAACAACATATTGACATGTAATAGATATTCCATTCATATAGCAACTGTGGTGGTACCATATATACATATAACTTACAATTAATGATTTAAAACTCGTTTTCCTTCTTAATTGAACAGTGATAACAAAATACAAATACTGTTCTGGAAGTTTGCTAGTGGATATTACCTAGGTAATAAATAGTAATATATTAAACTGATCTGCGCGAGCGCAGCCTTAGAAAAGAGCGTGTGTTTATATCTTTTGATAGATGAGTTTGCTAAGTGTTGTCAAATATTTGCTTCATTAATTTAATGTCTAAAAATAAAAAATTGTAGGGTGTGGTGAAACCACTTCTCAGTGATTGTTGTCATTACATGAAGATAAGATATATCTGTTGCTTAATGATTTTATATAACGAACACTTATCCTCGTCTCTCGGGTGCCCTAATAGCCTATGTGTTACTCCAGCTCATACTATACATATGTACAAAATTTCATCCAAATCCGTTCAGCCGTTTCAGCATGAAGGTATAACCAACATACACACATACAAACTTTTACATCCTACATAACCTATTATGTGATGATTCTTTGTTTCTCTTTCACGCAAAAACGACTGAACCACTTTCGATGAACTTTTACAATAATATAGTTTATGCATTAAATTAAAAAATAAGTTACATAAAAATTTATGTAGGGAATACATACGTAGACTATTTGTTAAAAGAATAAGGCCCACAACTGTTGAAGACATTGCTTACCTGACACTTCTGAAAGTTGCGAATTCAGGCGATCAATCGGTACTTGAAAACGAAGTAACTTTTTAATATGTATCTTTATATATATAATTCTTCTGTGAGTGTGTATGTCACTGAACTTCTCTCAAACGACTGGACCGATTTTGATGAAATTTTTTGTGTGTTTTCAAGGGGATCTGGGAATGGTTTAGATTCACAATTTGAATAATAATTTTCATTAAAAAAATTATTAAAAAAAGTTTGAAATTTTCAAATTAAAGACGTGTAGACAGGACAACGTCTGTCGGGTCCGCTAGTGTATTATAAATGCGAAACTTTGTATGTGTGAATGTTTGCCATTTCACATTGGCGCTACGTGCACGTTGCACATAATATCCATACTAATATTTTGTATGTGAAAGTGTGTTTGTTTGTTTGTTGGGCTGGAGAGTGACATAGGCTACTTTTTACCGCGGGAGATTATCTCATTCCCACGGGAAACCACGTTATAATACAAACCAAAAAAATATTAATGATCAGAATTACTTGAAACTTGGTATAAATGCTTTTCAATACAATTAAATAAATACGTGTTTTAGCATTTTTCGAAATTCATTCCATAAGGGGGTAAAATAGCGGATGAAAGTTTGTATGAAACCTACCTTTTTAGAGATTTTATTGTAGCTTAGCGCATGCGAAGCCGCGGGTTCTGCTAGTTATAAATAAAATAATCACGCACTCGAGGGAAACCCGGGTAAGTCGCTAGTTTTATATTTGGTATATGGTTATGCCTTGCACTTAACCAAAATTTTAAGTAGGTTTTAAATTAACAAACGCCCTTGGACAAATACATACATATATGTATTTAATTAACAGTTATTTTAAAAACAATACGCTACCGTATAAGCAACTTCACTCGTTGCCTTGAGAACAGTATTAAAATTGGACAGTACTCATAATCAGTCTAACGCTAGATTGGAAGCAAAACACTTGCTAAAATAATATTAAATAATAATAAATAATTATATAATAATAAATAAAACAAACAATAAAAGAAGTGTTTGTGTAGATTCCTGAAAAAACACAACATTTTAAATTATAATTGAATTTATGTGTTATATAATAATGTGTTTGTGTATGTATCCGAAGTGATTTTTGGACTTTGTGTATTTAATAGCTAATTAAACAGAGTGAAGTGCCAAGTGACGCTACGAACTAAAATGCCAGTCTGGT